CCCCCCCCGAAAATCCCAGGAAGAGGCGATTTCCTAAGCAGATCCAGACTTGTTACTAGAAAGAGGAAGAGAAAGAGGGGCAGAGCCTTCCCTTCGCTTCCAAGCGGGATAGACACCCAATTCAGGCCCTCCCGGGTCTTGGGCGAGGAGGGGCCTCCCGTCGCCTCCCAACCGCTTCCCCAGCGGCTCCTCTGGACGTCGCTCACTTGCCCCCCACGGGCACTTTGGTGGGGGGGGGGCAGAAGCCAGATGTTGCTGCCGCCGCCACCGAGGACCTGAGCCCCATGACGTCATCGCTCCAACCCTCCTCTGCACAATCCCCGCCCCCCGGGGGGGCTCTTGGCTCTCCCTCCGAAGAGCCCCCCCAGCTCTGAAGGCCCCTCCGACGCCGCCCGCCCCGAGCCCCGGCCGCTCAGCCGGCCCAGCCCAGCTCCAGGAGCGGCACCGGCGGGCTCTCTCCCACCAACCAACCCTCTCGGCCAAGGGCCAGGTCCGCGGGAAGAAGGAGGGAGGCAGGCAGCCCTTCCCCGGCTCCGCCCGGGAGACAGGCCGAGCAGCGAACCCGCGGCCGGCCGGAAGATCGCCCGGCCGAGCCGGCCGCGAGCGGAACTCCCACCCGGTTGCAGGTCGGCCCGCGAGCGGCTGGTCCCGCGCAGCTCCCCTCGAGAGCGCGGCGCAGAGCAGCCCCCGTGCCCGCCCGCCTCCCCCCGTCGCCTCTGGGCGGCCGAGCGGGGCGCTTACCTTGCAGGCTGGGCTGCGCGGGGTCCGGGCCGGCTCCGGCCATCTCGGCGGCGCAGGGGGGCCCGTCGGCGCTGAGCTCGGCCAGTCTGCGGCTGGCGGCGCCCAGCTCGGCTCGCAGGGCGCTGACCTCCTGCCCGGCCGCCTGGAGCGCTCCGTCGATGCGCAGCGCCAGCTGCTGGTTCCCCTCCATCATGCCGGCGATCTTGGCCTGCGGGGGGGACAAGGCGGCAGGCTCAGCCTCTGCAGCAGCCGCCGCATGGCGCGCCCGGCCCCGCCGTCTCCGCCCGACGTTCCCGGGGCAGCGACGCCCGCCCGCCCGCCCGCCGGCTGGGGCTGCTCCCGAGGCCGGCGGCGCGGCTGGCAGAAGCGCGGCCGGGGCGGGAGGCGGCGGGAGAGGGAGCGAGCGGGAGGAAGAGGGGGGGGGGCACCGCAAGCTCCGCCCCCGGCTCCGCCCCGCCGCCCGCGGCCCCCGCCCCTTCTCCGGCCTGGCCAGAGCAGCCGCCGCCGCCGCCGCTCCCCGCGCCCGGCCTCTCTGCGCGGCTGCACCTCAGCGGCCAGGCGCGGCGAGCGGCCGCCGGAGGACTCCGCGGGGAGGGCGGCCGGCGGAGCAGCGACCGCGCTGGGTCGGGTGGGCGCCCGGAACAGACGCGCGGCGTTCCCAGAGCCGCGGAGGGGAGCGAGAGCGCGGCTGGCCAGTTCGGACTCGGAGCTCCTCGGCTTCTCCGGAGGCCGGTCGGGAGCGGCCATTCCCGGCGATGGCGCAGCGGAGACCCCGCCCACCCCGTTTGCCCCGAGCGAAGCCCCTGCGGCCCCGCCACGCCGCTGGCAGCCCCGGGAATTCGCGGACTGCCTGTTCGGGCAGGGCCTCCCTGAGCCCATCGCGCCGGTGCGCCTCGGTTGGCTGAGTTCCCACAACACGCTAAAGCCAGCCCTCCGTTGCCAAAATCCCCGAAGAGAACCGGCCGTGATTGAGTCAAAGGGGGGGTCCGATTCCCCTGCTGAGCCTCCCCCGGGGTGGTTGGGTTCCCACAGCACAAGGGTTGGGTCGGCCCGCTGGGGTCCTGAAATTAAGACACTGGAGACCCCACCCAAGGGTCTCTGGCTGCAGAGGCAGGGCAGGACGCGTCTACCGCGACCCCAGTTGTGAGCTGAATTTCCACGGCTAAGGAAGGTGGGGGTGAAGGGAGCCAGGCCCGGTTTTAGGACCTTTTCCCCATGGTTGTTAAGTGAATCACACAATCACTGACTGAGCCCCCAGGCTTTGCTTGCGGGAAGCTGTCTGGGAAGGCCACAAATGGTGATCATGTGACCCAGAACCTGCCCACCCAGACCCCCCTCCCACCCCACCCCCTGGAATTCCTCCCCTTGGAGCAGAACCCATTCAGAAGGGGATCCTTCAGAAGAGGAGGCCCTGAACTCCCGAGGAGGCTGCTCGGAGGGCAGATAAGACGAGAGTGAAATGCAGCAACACGGACACCACTCGGACAAGGACTTTGCTGCCATAAAAATGCAAACAGGCCACAAACCACAATTCCTCCCCTTTTGAGGTTCACGCATCACACGCAGTCACAGCAACATTCGAGGGTTGCAAGCGGGTTCAGTTCACTGAATGACGGTTTCCGAGCGTTGCACAAATTGGTCCAGACCTAAGTTAAGGAATGCCACCACAACCAGCCCCTGTGACACCTGTCCCTCCCTCTCTGGCTCAGCACAAGAGGCGCCTCGGCCCCCTCCACTGACCCACCCCCAGGCCGCGTGACGAAAACCTGCCTTTGAACTCCAATCCTCTGAACCCCAATATCGTTCATGTCATAAATGCCTGGCATTTGTAGCGGCCAGCTAGTGTTGGGCAAGTCAACGGTTGGCAGCCAAATAGCCACGCCAGGTAGCTGGCAGCGGGGTCCCTGGCCAGCAGAGGGAGAGCCATCACTGGACCTGGAAGGGGCCCGGCCTCAAGGAGGAGCTGCTGCTGCAAAGAGCCCTCCCAGCCTTTTGGGGGGGTCTTTCTGCACGGGTAGCACCCCCCCTTCCCCCGCTTAGGAGGCCTCCCACGGAAATTCGCTACCCGCCAGCACCAGGTGAGGCCCCTTCAATGTAACCCTGACCTGCATTTTCTGAGACCCTCTCAGCCACAGTTGGGATAAACCTGGCTCGGTTCAAGCTGGGACGATCAGTTACGCCCGAGAAAGCGTTTCTCTGCGTCTGGGTTCACACGGTGACCCTGAGCTCCAGTCAGGGAAGCATTCACACAACAGGCTGAACCCTCTCACAAGAGACCTGCTGGTTGCATTTGGATAACGTGCAGAGGCTGGGGGCTTGTGTAAGTGACGATCCCTTGTGCCAATGCAGCCTTGCACCAACACCAAAGGTTCTGCAAGGAAAGCCTTGCACCTGCCATGTGCCCGAACGAACCACCTGTCGCAGCCGATGGAAATGGCCAACATCACGCAATTGACCATAACACAATTGGCCCCCAACCTTTGGGGCACCAGGTTCGATGGGAGGAGGCTTTTCCATGGACGGGAGGGGCCGTGGCTTCACATGCTGCCTGCATTCTGCTGATGGGGCTGCGCTTGTGTGTGCAGCCTGGTTCCTAGAATAAGCCGTGGCCCGGTGCCAATCCACGGACGAGGGAATGGGGACCCTGAGCTACAAAGAGGGCTCCGTTTTCTCTCAGCCTTCCAGCATGTTGGGTGCTGTGATCCCTCCCGCCCCTTTGCTCACTGGCTGGAGGTGCCCCTAGCCTGCCCCCCCCCCGGCCCCGAGTGCGTAGAACCCCTGCAAGGGTGCCTCCAACGGCAGCCCTTAATGGGATACAAGAGTGAAAATTATGGAATGCACAGGGGAGTAATCACATCAACCGCCTAATTCCTTTTTAATTAAGCTTACATTGAGATTAAATGAAAATACATCAAGTTCAGGTTTCGTCCAGGCCCATTGAAGGATACCAAGGACGGGCGAGACAAGGTGGGCGTGACTGGCACGAGGCCGGATGGGCTTTTCTCCCAACCTGCGCATTTCCCCCTCCGTGGGCACCAGGCAGAAGGTGCGTTTAGATGTGTTTTATCACTCAACCAACTGCTTAAAATGCCAATGCTAAATCAGGTGGGCATTCCTGGCAGGCAGTTGGCAGGGGGCTGCCCTCTCCCCACAGCTGGTGGACGGACAGGGAAGCCACCTTGTGCGCTGAAGCCCCAGAGATGCCAGCCCTGCCCTCCTGCCCAAGAGTTTGGCACCCGGTTTGCTCCCATAGTGCTGCTTGGCTCACTTATGCTTGAATGTAGCGGGAAAAGTGTGGCAAGGGGGGGGGGTGAGGTCTGCTGCACCCCAGTCAGAGGAGGAGGCCCCCACCCACCCAGCCCACCCCAACCCACAAGGACCCCCAGCCTCTCACAGCAGCCTTCAGCCAAGGCGGGTCCCACCTGATGCCCCACCTGCAGCCAGGCTCCAGCATTTGGCCAGATGAGGCTCGCTTGGGGCGCCCCCCCCTTCTGCTGCTCCTTTCTGGCCAGCATCTCATGGCCAAGACTTGGGGGAGCCAATGACCAGCCCCCCCCCCCCCACTAAACTCTGCCTGGATCACCTGCAGGTCCCCTTCAGGTGGTCCTCCGGAGGAGATGGAGCCCCAGGAGCATCCGGGTGTCTGTTAGCCCCTCCTCTCCTGCCCAAGGTGCTGCCCCTAGCCTCCCCTCCCCCTCCCCTCCCCCTCCTCTGTGGTGACTCAGAGCTTCACTGTCTTCCTGCTGAGCGGGGGCAGAAGAGATACCTGCGGTTACCCTGACAACGGCCATCTTCCCATCTCTTGAGGAGCACTAGAAAGGGGGACCATCTCCCCCCTCCCATGCAGGAGCGGTCCCTGTCCTGCCACTCCCCTCAGCAGGAGAGGAGGACTCCTGCCCCACAACTGGGGAGAAGGGGCTTCAGCTGCTCCCTTCAGCGGACCTGGGAGTCGGGCCCTGGGCTTTCACACCCCACCACAGTGCAATTGACTTCCAGAGGGGGACCCCCTTCTTCCCACCCCTCCGCCCTCTCATCTCTAAATCAAGGCAAGACACCCCCCCCCCAGTCTCTTTCCTGAAAGCCTGGCAAAGCAAATTCTCCTTCCTTGACGGGGATCAGGGCAGGGGGGTGGGGGTGGGGGTGGGAAATGCTGTTTATCCAGCAGGGGGGAGGGGGCTCCCTGGCTCCTTCGCCTGACTGGCTTTGTTTCTGCACTGCAACCCTGCTCTGAGCAGAGGGTCCGGCCAAGGACTCCTCCTCCTCCTCCTCTGAGTAGAGTTAATGGATTCCCCCCTCCCTTCTGGGAGCCTCCCCCTCCCCTCCCAATGCTAACAATGCTCCCCTTGGGGGGGGGAGGGTTCTATGCATGCAAAACATTTGCTGGGGATCCAGTGGCAGCGGCCCAGGGCAGCTTCTGCTGGCAGGCAGCTCAACCGCCACGCTGGCCGGAGGGAGGGAGGGAGGGAGGGGGGAAAGGAGGGTGCTGGTCTCCCTTCCCCTGACCTTCAATCCAGCTGGAATGCTTTTAGGAGCCCCCCCCCCCCCGCTTGGCCAGAGCCCCCCATCTCCTAATGACATGAAGGATGGACTGCCGCTGTGCAGTATTTCTGGGGCTGGCCTGGCAGGCTATCCTAAAACAGCAAGAACTCCTTCCAAAATACAGGCTGGATGTTTGTCCGTTGGGCCCTTGACCAGGCCCGGCCCCTTAAGACAAAGCCACTGCCCCATTCCCATGGCTGAGATGGCCAGGAGCGACAACCCCCTTCCCCCCATGAAGCTAACGGAAGAAGCTAAGAGGAGGCCGAACCGGGGAGCCCAGCGCCCAGCTCTATCTGGTCCATCAGCTCCCCTTGCCAAGTGGGCTTCCCCCACCCCCACCCCATGGCCCCTGGACAGGGCTGTGACCCCAAAACTCCTCCTGGCTCCTGTCCTGCCTCCCCCACGCCTGGCCTGCTCTCCCCACCCCTCTGCGGGTGCAATCCAACAAGCCCTGTGTGGGGTTCAGCCATCCGGTGGCACCTGCAGCTGACCTTCCGCATGAGCCAACCTCCCCTCTGTCTGCAGCTCCTGCCCCCCCCCACCCACCGCCCCGGCCAGCTTGGGAGCTATTCTGCGCACGCGCACACACACACACACTCACACACACAGAGCCTAAAAGGCCCAACAGCCTCCCCGGATGCTGCAGCAGAGCTAGCAAAGCCCCCACCC